TGCCAACTCAGAAATTAGAACTCCGTTGAGACTTTTCTTGGAGGTGCACTCATTCAAACCATTTTTGTTGAGACGCGGTTTTTTACTCTCTGTTATGGAAAACGAGAGGAGCGTCGAGTGCAGACCACACACCACAAGTTACGACGGCCAAGAAAAAAGAACAGAAAAAACACGTTTTTCTTGGCCGTCGTCACTTGTGGTGTGTGGCCTGCACCCGACGCTCTTCTGATTTTCCAAAATAGAGGGAAGCTTTGAATGGTCGTAACTTCCTTCAAAACCGATTACGGGCGAAGCGTTAAGTGTGTAAGAAAACTAAGAGCATGCCCTTTTAGAAAACTCACTCGAGGGTTTTTTTTGCAAACATTTCTATTCGAGAGGTGAAGCTTTGCGCTAGCAATCCATGTCTGCGCATGCCGTGCTTCCGACGCAGATGCATTTCAAAGTCGATACGATCTCCCCTAGTGACCACCGCGGTTAAGATTCGTGGACCATATACGACCCCCCCCCGCTGGTATTTGTACAAAAATGCGGTTGACCGTGCTCAGGAGTACTTTCACATCACACCGATTCTTGTTAAAAGCATAATTTGAGCGCTCCTTTCCTGATCCTTGGTGTTAAGGAGTGTCCCACCTCCTTCACTCAACCCGAACTTCGGTTCCACCCCATTCCTAGGAATTTAAAGCCAAGCCTTCCATCAAATCTGGGTTATCTTCAATGTGGTCCAGAAATAGTACATTTGCAGGATTACAATTGTACACTAGAATCGAGTGCCATGACGTCTGCGCAGAGATGTTCTGTGATTCCTGACCCGAACCGTCCTTCTGGTGTTGAAGAAAACAACTACTTGTTCGAAAAAAGTCAAGCAAGTTCTGACGATAACGCGATCATACTTGTCAGTCTGAAAAACTTCTAATAATTACCCAATCGAATAATGTGGATGACTGTTAAGGCTATAAGACACTGGTGGAGTCAGATAAGGGTGACTGGCGGCATAGGACAAGGTGTCACCTACACACAGTACAATGTTGGCAAACCAACTGTATGGTTCATCAGGGTCAGCTTGACTGTGTGTATTGAAATTTTTCGACATTGGCTTTCCTTAGTTCGAAATGCAGCTCCCGAGAAATGGTCTCAATGTCGACATTTGCAGATGGCATGGGCAACTACTGCGAGTTTCGGCTGTGCCGTGGCTACATGCGACTCCTACTGGTCTGTTGTGTGTCACTACCCTGGGTTCGTTTATATCATATTTATGTAGAACCGTTGAATCTGCCTAAACCGCAGAGGTTTTTGCCTAGTGAGCCTCACCACGTGTTTTGAACATTTCTTTACCAGAACCTTTCGATCTCTTCGCTTGCGAAGCTCTATCTATTCCACATGGCGATGTAGTGATGCAAGCCGAACCACTGATGAGTCATTTTCAGAAACATGCAGCTTAACGAGCATCTCTACATGAAGGGCACCCCCTGTGCCGACTGCCCTGTCGGCACGTTCTGTAATCCAGCAAAGTTGTGTCAGAATCGTTCTACAATTGTCTAATAACTTTTATCAATTTCTCTATGTGGAATCCTGCCATTTATTGACTTCCCGTTATCTGCTTGTGACGCGAAAAATAAAGGCACTTCGCATCAAATACTCTATTTTCTAAAATGTTTGATATTTACGATAACTTCTGCCCCCTCGGCTTCGGTAGCCTACAGGTATTAGCCAGAAGCCTTAGTCAGTTGTCAGGGATCGAGAAAATGCACCTGATGTGATATCACTCCTGCCCCTCCTTTACTGGTGATCACTACGAAGAACACGGTTAACTGAAATCCTGAGCAAGTGTCAACCTCGCAAGTACACTAAACCAAACGAAACTACTATGGACTTGTAAACAAGTAGAACGAATCTCTAGTGGACACCCTCTGTCGCCACATACGGACCTCTAAGATCCAATAGAAGGACATTAGCGGGCATAACTACAGTGCATGCAAAGAATATAAGGGCACCTCTAAAAATTACTGTTTCGAGTGAAGATGAAAAACTCATGGCTTGCTTAAAGGAAGCGATTACGATAAGGAATTTTCGCATCGGGGGAGAACCTGCGCCACACGGAGCAATTACTTGGCTGCCAAGGAAGCGATGTGTGGCCTCCCACGGCGAAAGGTGCTGTGGTTGCTGAGCAGGACCCGCGTGACCCCGCCCCAGTGACGTGACGCCCACTAGTTTTGTTGATGATCTGGATGGACTGTTTGCTGTTGCTTTTCATTTTGGATGATCATTTCCCTTCTAGCGGCTGTATCTTCCAACTTGCCCACGTATTGCCTTATCAATCAAAACACTATGCTTGTTGGCATGATGGCGGCTATCGGGGTTAACACGTCCGAACAACGTTCTTTACCGTCGCTCATCCATGGTCGAAAATGAAAGGGCAATCAAAGGGGTACTATTTTGCTTATTTTTGACGGATTTCTTTGCTTTTTTCGCCATTGGCGTACTATTGAGACCCCCACGTCCCCTCAAACCCCTTTGAGATCTATCGTAATCGCTTCCTTTAATACCCTAAAATCCCATAGATAAGAGCGGTCCATAGATATTTTTTCAAAAATAAAATAAAAATAAAAATATTTTTTCAAAATCATTTTTTACCGGTAAATTAAACCGCTCTTATCTATGGAATTTTACTGATCGAATGGGCTCTTCAAGTTCTATCCAGAGATCAAATTCCGGCATTTCTAGAGAGATTCCGGCAGAAATTCCGTTAAAATCGCTATTTTTCTATATGAATTGTTTATTAAGTGGGCGGGGTTTAGAGTTGAGGGACGGAGCTTCTTCTAAACTTCTTCTCCGATTTTTATTTATCCATCCATCAAGTTAGAGGGGTGACTGCATTCAATTTCAATTTCATTCCAATTCATTTTTCACCGGTAAATTAAACCGCTCTTATCTATGGGATTTAGGGTACTTTGTTCGGCGTATTCTGAATATGTAGTTCACTAGATTTTAGGACCGCGAGTGTTGGCAGTTGGATTCTCGTAAAATTGTCAATGCAACAAGAAGAGTTATACATGATGCAGCTTGTGAACGTTTTCTCCATCACATCGCTGCTCGGCTTGTATTTAAAATTAGCAAACTCATGTTAGATAGCACAGATCTAGTTTGACGAACAGATGGGCTTTTCTATCTTGGAGCAGTCTTGGACACAAATTTTGTAAAGGACTGTGGAGAGAAAAGGTGTTTAACCCTTTCACCTGAATTTTTCCCCGTGGAAATTTTTTTCTAGCTATTGTTTATTACTTGTGAGCATATAGGTATCATTATGGCGAAATTTGGAAGCTATTCGATCACAAACAAAGAAACTAAGAAGCTTTGAAAATTGGCCCCACCTTCTTAGTTTTTAAGCTTATGTCGAAACAATTCGAAATTCGTAAATATATGTCGAAAATTTTATAATCTTCGTATCCTATACTATATATAAGCGGCTAGCGTGTGTCTGTTGGTGTGTGTGTGTGTGTGTGTGTGTTTGACCGGAAATTCATAGCTCGAGTCACAGTAACGATAGCGCAGTGGTTCTTACATATGTTATAGGGGGTGGGATGGGGACACAAGTGGTACGTGATAGGAACTGATAACGACTGATAATAGCTGATAAGAGGGGCTAGAAAGCGAGCATCGCCAATTTCGTTTTGTCGTTCATATTGGTACTAGAGCGTCTATACTTACAAGTCTTATGTGGGGCGGTCCCGGGACATTGGTGGTACATGATTGGAAGCGATAGCAACTGATAAGGGCTGATAAGATGCGCTAGAACGCAAAAGTCGTCGATTCCGTTGCCTGGCTCGCGTTGACACCAGAGCAACCATACTTACAAGTGTTATGTGGGGTGGGACGGGGACATTGTTGGTGGGTGCCAGAAACTGATAACGATTGATAAGGGCCGATAAGGCGCGCCAGAACGCTGAAGTCGTCGATTCCGTTGCCTGGCTCGCGTTGACACCAGAGCAACCATACTTACAAGTGTTATGTGGGGTGGGACGGGGACATTGTTGGTGGGTGCCAGAAACTGATAACGATTGATAAGGGCCGATAAGGCGCGCCAGAACGCAAAAGTCGTCAATTCCGTTACGCAGCGTTGACACTAGAGCGTTCCTACTTACAAATTGTAGTAAGTCGTAGTAGTACAAACAAAGGTACGTGCACATTATTTCGATATATATCCAGCTTACTTAATAGCAGTCGATTGCATAAATTCAATCAAGTCTTCAGCAAATGATAAGTTTCATTTCTATCAAGAAAAGCCAAACTCATTAAACCGCTAATCCTTTCGGGGTTCTAAATAATGGTGAATGTAAATAAATGATAAGCCTTAGCTCCTCACTTATGTAAATAGGCATAGTTTTCATTTTGAGACTGACAGCAATCCTATTCACCGCTAAATTATCTGAATTCAAGAAGAATGCTGGATGTTTACAGTTGTGAGATAATTATGCCAGTTCAGCTCCTCCAGACGTTATCACGCGTATTCTCGATGGACTTCAGCGAAACTGGGAAAAGTCTAACACATTCAATAGTGAGGTGGCTAATGGAGGACCTCATGCTGATATTCCATGGGTCTTTCCAGTTTCACTAAAGCCTGCCGTGTGATGCGCGCGATAGCGGGCGGAGCAAAACTGGTAACATTATAAACCATAATTTTGATTTAGGAATGGATCCACTTCAAGTATTTTAAGAAAAAGTCACACTTACTTGGCCGGTTGCGGGGGTCAGCGCCCATTCATTGTTGCACTTGTACACAAATACTTGCAATACTAACAGCAATAAACAATGAAATGGCCGGTTAAGCTCATAATTAGGAAGGGGAAGGTTGACTGAAGCAACCTCTAGCAGGATTAGAAAAACCATGCTGTTTCAGCGGAAATGCAAGCGTTTGAATTTGGTGGTGGCAATTGCCACCGCCAGGGCCGAAAGGGTTAAATCGAGAACTATTTCTGCCGCAGCAGTGCGCTTATACTTCGAACGTCCTCTGGCCTCTGAAGCCGTTTTCCCTTCCCATTTCACAGCTGATCACTTAAGGAGGACGATCATCTACTACCATCTACTAAACCTGTAAATAACAGTCATACTCGTCTCTACGTGCTCCCGTGAAAATTTCACTTTCTACAATGCGACAATTTTCACAAACAAAAAGAATGAAATTCTGGGTGGAAGCGCACACCTTCTGTCGTGTCTCAGGTTACCTTTCACATCCGTGCGCATAGTACGAACAGAACTTTCAATAATTGCATCAAACTGTACGTTTCTACATCTTCGGAAGGCACCGCCTCGATTTGATAAGTATCAGTAGACCGCGCTGTCTACACTTTTACAGATTGATGTGAGATGGGGTCTTTTTCAGGTAGTGGGCGTGGCAAATACATCATTATAATTAAAATAAATTTCAATCAATTAATGAGATCACCTTGGTCCACTGGAACAACTCGTGTTGGAAGTGAGAAATTCTTTACAGCATCCACACGTGGCAAAATTTCTAGCTATATTAACAATTTATGAGAAATCCAACTATAAAATCGCTGTACTATCTGGATTGGCTGTCCTGCTGTAGAAAGCTCGCTCCATGTCAATGACGGCTCATACATAGATGATGGGCATAAAAATTATGTGTAAAGAAATAAATAGCTAACACAGAGGTCGTACTTTCTTTCTGAAAGGAGGGTGGGTTAAAATTTTCGATTGATTTGCGCAACGCACGATTGACCCGAGATGTGGGGACAAGCAGCATTTGCTTTTTTTCAGATTTAGCCATTAAGGATGCGACCTATCAGATTGCACTCGAGTTTTCCTTCCTATACATTATACGAACGTTATAACAATTCTCTAACGAATCTGCTGTTGTAATATATTAGGTTGGAAAGAAAGTCCTGCAACACTTTTTCAAATTTTTGATTTTAATTTTATCTTTTTTGGTTACAACTTCTGACCGGTCTTATATCTACCATGAGTGTCCACCACTTGTCTCCAATCGCTCAGAAAATTTCTTGATGCTCCTTCGCCAAAACCCAGCGGAGTGCGAGTCGAGAAAGGAGGCGACCTCACTTTCGAGTTGGAGTTGATCGTCTGATTATTTCGTTATAAAGATGATGATTTAAAGGTCCAGGATAGGTAGCACTTATTTACAGCTCGACCAGGGGATTACGCTAAGAGAGGAAAGAAATCTTGCCGCAACTCCAGAATTTCTTACCGGGCTCATTTCGGATCATGGTGATTCGCAATGTCATGAAAGAAATGAATATTGTCGCGGTACGAGGGCTCTTGACGAGCTACCTCGGCCAGCTTCTGGTACTTCACAACCTAGGCCACTGCCTACACAATGGTGCCCATAACGAAGGGTATGTAGTGGAGCTTCTGTAAGAGCCCTACCTGTAATGGAGTGTGAGGGATGCTGCTGGCTTCTTATAAAAATATCAAAAGATCGGAAGCGCTGGTAAAGGTGAAACACGCTGTATCGCTGAACGGCATGCCATTAGAAGCTATTGCAGATAGTGTCAGTCGTTGACACG